CACTCATTATAACACTGGGTATCTAACAGCCTAACCATAAAACACTCATTATAACACTGGGTATCTAACAGCCTAACCATAAAACACTCATTATAACACTGGGTATCTAACAGCCTAACCATAAAACACTCATTATAACACTGGGTATCTAACAGCCTAACCATAAAACACTCATTATAACACTGGGTATCTAACAGCCTAACCATAAAACACTCATTATAACACTGGGTATCTAACAGCCTAACCATAAAACACTCATTATAACACTGGGTATCTAACAGCCTAACCATAAAACACTCATTATAACACTGGGTATCTAACAGCCTAACCATAAAACACTCATTATAACACTGGGTATCTAACAGCCTAACCATAAAACACTCATTATAACACTGGGTATCTAACAGCCTAACCATAAAACACTCATTATAACACTGGGTATCTAACAGCCTAACCATAAAACACTCATTATAACACTGGGTATCTAACAGCCTAACCATAAAACACTCATTATAACACTGGGTATCTAACAGCCTAACCATAAAACACTCATTATAACACTGGGTATCTAACAGCCTAACCATAAAACACTCATTATAACACTGGGTATCTAACAGCCTAACCATAAAACACTCATTATAACACTGGGTATCTAACAGCCTAACCATAAAACACTCATTATAACACTGGGTATCTAACAGCCTAACCATAAAACACTCATTATAACACTGGGTATCTAACAGCCTAACCATAAAACACTCATTATAACACTGGGTATCTAACAGCCTAACCATAAAACACTCATTATAACACTCGGTATCTAACAGCCTAACCATAAACCACTCATTATAACACTGGGTATCTAACAGCCTAACCATAAAACACTCATTATAACACTCTGTATCTAAAAGCCTAACCATAAAACACTCATTATAACACTCTGTATCAAACAGCCTAACCTTAAAACACTCATTATAACACTCGGTATCTAACGGCCTAACCATAAAACACTCATTATAACACTGGGTATCTAACAGCCGGACAAGAAATCACTCATTAAAACACTCAGTAAATAACAGCCTAACCTTAAAGCACTCATTATAACACTGGGTATCTAATAGCCTAACCATAAAACACTCATTATCACAATCAGTATCTAACAGCCTAACCATAAAACACTCATTATCACATTCAGTATTTAATAGCCTAACCATAAAACACACATTATAACACTCGGTATATAACAGACTAACAATAAACCACTTATTATAACACTGGGTATCTAACAGCCTGACCATAAAACACTCATTATAACACTCTGTATCTAACAGCCTAACCATAAAACACTCATTATAACACTTTGTATTTAACAGCCTTACCATAAAACTCATTATAACACTCGGTTTGTAACAGCCTAACTATACAACACTCATTATAACACTCTATATCTAACAGCCTAAATATAAAACACTCATTATAACACTCGGTATCTAACAGCTGGACCATAAATCACTCATTATAACACTGGGTATCTTACAGCCGGACCATAAATCACTCATTATAACACTCAGTAAATAACAGCCTAACCTTAAAGCACTCATTATAACACTGGGTATCTAATAGCCTAACCATAACACACTCATTATAACACTCGGTATCTAACAGCCTAACCATAAAACACTCATTAAAACACTGGGTATGTAACAGCCTAACCTTAAAACACTCATTACAACACTCAGAATCTAACAGCCTAACCTTAAAACACTCATTATAACACTCAGAATCTAACAGCCTAACCTTAAAACACTCGGTATATAACAGCCTAACCATAAAACACTCATTATAACACTCGGTATCTAACAGACTAACCATAAACCACTCATTATAACACTGGGTATCTAACAGCCTAACCATTAAACACTCATTATAGCACTCTGTATCTAACAGCCTAACCTTAAAACACTCATTATAACACTCGGTATCTAACGGCCTAACCATAAAACACTCATTATAACACTGGGTATCTAACAGCCGGAAAAGAAATCACTCATTAAAACACTCAGTAAATAACAGCCTAACCTTAAAGCACACATTATAACACTGGGTATCTAATAGCCTAACCATAAAACACTCATTAAAACACTGGGTATGTAACAGCCTAACCTTAAAACACTCATTATAACACTCAGTATCTAACAGCTTAACCATAAAACACTCATTATAACACTGGGTATCTAACAGCCTAAACATAAAACACTCATTATAATGCTCAGTATCTAACAGCCTAACCTTAAAACACTCATTATAACACTCGGTATCTAACGGCCTAACCATAAAACACTCATTATAACCCTGGGTATCTAACAGCCGGACCATAAATCACTCATTAAAACACTCAGTAAATAACAGCCTTACCATAAAACACTCATTATAAGACTGGGTATGTAACAGCCTAACCTTAAAACACTCATTATAACACTCAGTATCTAACAGCCTAACCATAAAACACTCATTATAACACTCAGTATCTAACAGCCTACCCATAAAACACTCATTATAATGCTCAGTATCTAACACCCTAACCATAAAACATTTATTATAACACTGGGTATCTAACAGCCTAACCATAAAACACTCATTATAACATTCAGTATCTAATAGCCTCACCATAAAACACTCATTATAACACTCAGTATATAACAGCCTAACCATAAAACACTCATTAAAACACTTGGTATCTAACAGCCTAACCATAAAACACTCATTATAACACTGGGTATCTAACAGCCTACCCATAAAACACTCATTATAACACTCTGTATCTAACAGCCTAACTATACAACACTCATTATAACACTCTGTATCTAACAGCCTAACCTTAAAACACTCATTATAACACTCGGTATCTAACAGCCTAACCATAAAACGCTCATTATAACACTCTGTATCTAACAGCCTACCCTTAAAACACTCATTATAACACTGGGTATCTAATGGCCTAACCATAAAACACTCATTATAACACTCGGTATATAACAGCCTAACCATAAAACACTCATTAAAACTCTTGGTATCTAACAGCCTAACCATAAAACACTCATTATAACATTCAGTATCTAATAGCCTCACCATAAAACACTCAATATAACACTCAGTATATAACAGCCTAACCATAAAACACTCATTAAAACACTTCGTATCTAACAGCCTAACCATAAAACACTCATTAAAACACTGGGTATGTAACAGCCTAACCTTAAAGCACTCATTATAACACTGGGTATCTAATAGCCTAACCATAAAACACTCATTAAAACACTTCGTATCTAACAGCCTAACCATAAAACACTCATTAAAACACTGGGTATGTAACAGCCTAACCTTAAAGCACTCATTATAACACTGGGTATCTAATAGCCTAACCATAAAACACTCATTATAACACTGGGTATCTAACAGCCTAACCATAAAACACTTATTATAACACTTGGTATTTAACAGCCTTACCATAAAACACTCATTGTAACACTCGGTATCTAACGGCCTAACCATAAAACACTCATTATAACACTGGATATCTAACAGCCTTACCATAAAACACTTATTTTAACACTCAGTATCTAACAGCCTAACCATAAAACACTCATTATAACACTCAGTATCTTATCTGAGTTACAACAAGAGGCCCAATGGGCCTGCATCGCTCACCTGGTATAAAACTCACACTTGTAACCTTAAAAGTGATCTAAAATAAAGCTGCAGGCAAAATATCAGTATTTATGATTAAAATTCGTTCAAAAGACCTTGTTATTTTTTTTTAAAACATTTCACCCCTGTGATTGAAAGTCGAACAAAGTCATTATGTTGGACACATTGTATAGCCTTTCATCTCAGGATGAAACTAGCAAAGTATAAACATCCTGGGACCCATGGTTATTCATAAGAGGTTGTTTAAAGATTTTAAACAAATTTGACCCCTGTGACCTTGAATATAAGTCAAAGTCATTCACTTTAACAAACATAGTAGTCCTTGATCCCAGCATATGCTACTAACTAAATATCAACATCCTGAGCCTTTTGGTTATTCAGAACAAGTTGTTGAAATATTTTAAACATATTTGCTCCTTGTGACCTTGAATATGATTCAAGGTCATACATTTAAACAAACTTGGTAGCCCTTGATCCTAGTATGCTACTGACTAAATATCATCACCCAGGGCATTTTGGTTATTCAGAAGAAGTTGTTTAAAGTTTTTAACATATTTGACCCCTGTGACCTTGAATATGGGTGAAGGTCATTTATTTGAACAAACTTTGTAGCCCTTTATCTCAGCATGCTACTGGCCAAATATCATTACCCTGGGCATTTTGGTTATTGAGAAGAAGTTGTTTAAAGTTTTTAACATATTTGACCCCTGTGACCTTGAATATGGGTGAAGGTCATTCATTTGAACAAACTTTGTAGCCCTTCATCTCAGCATGCTACTGGCCAAATATCATCACCCTGGGCATTTTGGTTATTCAGAAGAAGTTGTTTAAAGTTTTTTTAAGACAATTGACCCCTGTGACCTTGAATATAATTGAAGGTCATTCATTTGAACAAACTTGGTAGCCCTTCACCCGAGCATGCTACTGACCAAATATCATATCCCTGGGCAGTTTGGTTATTGAGAGGAAGTTGTTTAAAGTTTTTAACATATTTGACCCCTGTGACCTTGAAAATAGATGAAGGTCATTTATTTGAACAAACTTGGTAGCCCTTCATCCCAGTTTGCTTCTGGCCAAATATCATCACCCTAGGCCTTTCAGTTATTAAGAACAAGTCGTTTAAAGTAAAATATTGACGCCGGACGCCGGACGGACGCCGCACCACGGCATAAGCTCACTTGGCACTTCGTGCCAGGTGAGCTAATAAAAAAGAAGAAGTTAATCAAATAAGCTATACAAGCAATCAGACACAGATTTGCACACTTGCTCTCTTGCTGTTCCTTCCCACTTACCATTAAGAATGCAGAGTACGCCACTCTTCTGGATGTTGGAATAATCTGGCCACCTCCCCTGTGTATTGGTTCTTGGGCTATCACAGCATCAAGGATCTTGAACTTTACATTTCTGATGGCTATATGTAAAATAAGACAAAAAATGATAATGTAACTGATAATAATGTAGTACAACATTAACCTTATTGGATTTATTGCACTGAATCCAGCTTTGTGAAATACTGAGTTAATTTTTAACTGTACAATTTAATCTTTTCATAACAGGTCTCTGGTATAATTTTATTATGGTATTTACAGAAAAGAAAAAGGACTATAATAAACATGATCAAATCCTAACTTACAAATATATAGCAATACACATTTAAATTTCATTACTCTGCGAATTATGGTTTGTTAGAGGAAGTTTTTCACATTTCTAACCCATGACCCTGAGGGTCAAGATCATTCATTTGAACAACTTTGGTTGCTCGCTAACTCATCAAGCTCAATAGCAAGACTCAACAACTTTTAGATTTTAAGAAATCATTTGAAAGAAAGTTGATGAAGAATGGACAGACAGACTAAGGATGCTGCAAAATCAGCTAACAGGCATTTCTCGCCTGGTGAGCTGTTTATAGGACATTTCTCGCCTGGTGAGCTGTTTATAAGACATTTCTCGCCTGGTGAGCTGTTTATAGGACATGTTGATCAGTATGTCTAGAAAGCCTGACACTGGTTCTGTACTCACGTTCATCACACAGTGGTCCCTCCCGTGTAGCCCATTGGAATCCTTGTACGATACTGTCCTTCACCGCACCTAGTAAGCTCTTCTCTACCTATCAACAGTCAAACTTCCTCAACTGACCATCATCGCCAAACAACACACAGAAAAACGTTAACATTTTCAGAAATTAATTCAAAATGTACCAAACAGATTTTTGAACTTTAACTATGGGCCTGTTTGTTAATGTGGTTTGTCTAATGTTATATTTCAGGGGTAAAACCCAATGGACCTGCAGCTGTTAATGCAGGCCTTGAAAGTCTTTCCCAAGCTGGAAAACAACATCAAACTAGAATATCTCCCCTTATTAGCCAATAGAAAAACTCTGGTATAAAAAATTAACAATGAGCCATATCACTTTATATAGTGGGGCACGAGACCCGAATTTAAAATGCGACACTCCTACTCCCCAAGATACATTAAAACTTTAGCAAGTTTGGTCAATGTAGGTGAAATAACATGGAAGTTATGCCGTGGACAAACTTCGGTATTAAAAATAAACAAAGGGCCATAACTCTGTATATAGTGGGGCAGAAAACCTGATTTTAGTGTGACAGATTCCGCCTTCCCAATATGCATAAATAGGATAAGTATGGTCAACGTAGGTGAAATAACATGGAACTTATGCTCCGGACAAACTTCCGCATTAAAATTAAACAAAGGGCCGTAACTCTGTACATTTGTATATAGTGAAGCATAAGACCTAATTATATTGCACTGCACACCTTCTGTGGGTGATGCAGATAAAGTTCAAGCTTGATCAAGATATCTTTAACGGTTTGAAATTTATGGGCCGGACAAGAATTTACTGAAAATGTGCACTTATTTGACCTTTGACCTTGAGGTGAAGGTCAGTGACCTAATTCCAATGCACTTACTACTTCCTGTAGGTGATGCAAGCATACCTAAAGTTTCATCAAGATATCTTTAACGGTTTAAAAGTTATAGCCCGGACAATTTTGATAAGAAGAACCAGAAGAAGAAGTAGAAGAACCAGTACTAATACAATATGTCTCTCTTCATTCGAAGGGGAGACATAATTACTAGGTCTGTCTCTATTTCATGAACAAACAACAACAAACAAATGATTCTACAACATTTAGAGAGACATTCAAAAACCCCCAACACAGTCATGAATATAGAATGAAATGATGGTGCTAGCCAGTACCTCAGATGGTAATGTGTCCGTATGAAACATACCTCAGATGGTAATGTGTCAGCATAAAACATACCCCAGATGGTAATGTGTCTGTATGAAACATACCCCAGATGGTGAAGTGTCAGTATGAAACATACCTCAGATGGTAATGTGTCCGTATGAAACATACCTCAGATGGTAATGTGTCAGTATGAAACATACCTCAGATGGTAATGTGTCAGTATGAAACATACCTCAGATGGTGAAGTGTCAGTATGAAATGATGGTGTTAGCCCGTACCTCAGATGGTAATGTGTCAGTATGAAATGATGGTGTTATTAGCCTGTACCTCAGATGGTAATGTGTCAGTATGAAATGATGGTGTTAGTCCGTACCTCAGATGGTAAAGTGTCAGTATGAAATGATGGTGTTAGCCCGTACCTCAGATGGTAAAGTGTCATCCACAAGGATGTTTGGACCAGTCGCGTCTGGTCCAAAAGCCCATATAGAACGAGCTGCCAACAAATCCCAGTCATATTTAGTCTGAAAGAATTCTCCCAGTCTTTTCCTTGGCCATGTGATCTGTACAATCTCGTTCTCAATGTCTTCTGCAAGTCCTTTCTCCAGAGGTTCAGCAATCATTGTCAGTTTGTTTCTGTAAACAATTTTTTTTTGAATGAAAATGTTATCTGACTGGAACAACTGTTAACACTCTATGAGGGATACCTGAAGGTTATTCTACCCGACCGTGGACAGTCAATGAGCTGGGATACTGTTACATT